ATCATCATCATCATCATCATCATCATCATCATCATCATCATCATCATCATCATCATCATCATCATCATCATCATCATCATCATCATCATCATCATCATCATCATTATCATTATTATTAACAACATCATTCTATAATCGTTTATATCGAATAATTCTAACATAATTTTAAATTGTTTCCAGAAAAAATTATATTATTTCTGGAAAAATTATAGCTTATAAAATTAAAATGTTGGTTATAAATTGGATGATCTTAAACCATTACATACATAATTTTCTGGGAATGAAAATTGTTGAAATTAAAAAACGAAACAGTGATCTTTGATTTCTCATAATTTTATAAATTGAAATAAAATCACCAAAAAAAAAGTGCAATTTATCACATTTTATTGTAATTTAAAAACTTTTAAGAATCATTTTCGGATTTTTCTTTTTTTTTTTTGGACATAATATTTATTGAAAGTTTACATTTTTTTTTTCACACTCAGTTAAATATATGTGTTAATTTGAAATTATCGTAAGATTTCATTGTTAAATCAATGCGAAAAGAAGTTTTTTCACCAAATTTAATTATTTTATTAAATTTAAGTTTGAAAAAAAATTGCTTCCATTTTTTGCTGTCAATAAAAAGTTTAAAAAAATTACTTTCAATAAAAAATGTTCAAAAATTTAAAATATTTATATCAATTGAAAATTGATAATTTTACATATTTAGACGGATGTATTTTGGCGAATATCCATTATCATTTGCGGCATGCATTAATCAAACGGATTGTTTCCGAATATTGGTAGCAAAAAAAGCTGATTTAAATCAAAAGGATACAAACGGAAATACGGTTTTACATCTTGCTGTAATTCATGAACAGCCAGTAAGAAAATGATTTTATGCAAAATAATGTTTTAAATTTGATGAAATATTACATGAATAATCATAAATTCATATGTATTATGTTTGTAAAGGAAGAAATTTTTAAACAAAATTTTTTTTTTTCTTCTGTTTATTATAAAATTTTTTTAGTGAATTATTTTTGGAAATTTTTAATTCAAATTTTTAAATGAAAATTTCTAATTTGTAAGCTTTTAAAAATTTCTTTCATTCATCATTTTCTCAAAAAAAAAAAATAAATACATAATTTTTTCTTTTTTTTATTAGGAAATGATTAAACTATCATACAACATGGGTGCTAAGCTACAAATAGTGAACAAGCAAAATTTAACTCCGCTTACTTTAGCAGCACATTTGGGAAAGAAAGAGGTATGAATATGATAAAGATATGATATGATAAAAGATAAATACATATAATGTGATAATAAATGTGAATACGATAAAATTAGAAGAAAAAATGAGATAATTTTGTGGAAATTTTTCAGTTTAAAATTCTTCTTTAATCGGAATATACAAACATTGTTATCATTATTGATTATTATTATTATTATTATTATTATTATTATTACTA